AGAGAGAGAGAGAGAGCATCCTGGTGTGGCACTGTAGGATCAGCACTGGACTGCTAGCTGAAAAGTCGGTAGTTCAAACCCGTCAGCCGCTCCTTGGAAACCCTCAGTCAGAATCGTCTCAACAACAGTTAACAACATATATATGTAGCATGTCCCTCATTTATATCATATTTTTTAAATGCCCTTCTTTTTCGTTACTATTTTCCACTGTGAATTTTTGTTTTATCATATTAAATTTGAAGTGTGGTGAGAGTTTAAAAAACAAAATAAGAGTATTACAAAAGTACAGACCCCACTCTTAACTCCGTGTCTCCTTGTCTGTATTTGAGCAGGAACCACACTGCAAAGGAAATGGTGGCACAAGTGTTGGAGGTGGAGAGGTCTCCAGTAGCTTAAGAAAGATGAAACAATTTCCCAAACAAAAATAACTTGCAAATAGCCCTCTGAGAAGATGCAGTTTCTCCCTGGTAACCTGAGAAAGGCTTATACTAACCAGGAGAAAGGGTTACTTTTGGGGTCCTGGTCTACAAAGACCGCACACAAAAAAAGGAAATATATATATATATATCAGGACCTGGTGTGGTGGGATGAGGTGAGATGATTTGGGGGTAAAGGAGGGGGCTCATATTCCTAGTGGGAGTGGAATTTGGGGACCAGAGCTTACTGGAGATGCAGCTTTCACGTGACCAGGAGCTGACGTGGGCAAAGGTACTTAAAGCCCTGACCGCCGTCGTCCTTTCTCCTCTGGGTACCAACTCTGTATTACGCTGCGAACAGCCTTGCGTTTAACCCAGGCGAGGAGGAGGAGGAGGAGGAGGAGGAGAAAATCCCCCCAGATCCGGGCAGGTGGGTGTGAGGGTGGGCATGGCCTGGGAGCCTAGAACTGGGGCAACCCACAGATACTGGAGCTCGAGGCCGCAGGCGCCTCCGCCTTGCCCACTCCCAGGCCGGCTTTCCGTATACCAGCGATCAGTCGCAGCTCGTTTTGGTGGGCGGCAGCGGAGGGTTGGGGGATCGGAAAGATTTTGCCAGACTTTGAGAAGAAGAATCCGTTTACTCCCCCTGGCAGCCAGTGTGGTTCTATTTCGTTTTTGACACTCAAACCCTGCACCCCACACCTGGTCCTGTTTTAAGAAGAGGAGGGGAGAGAAATAAACGTGGCAAGGCATTTAAGGCCAGTGGGGAAACTGGGAAAGGGTGAAACGCAATCTGGGAACCTTCCGGACAATTTACTCCCATCTTCACTTTGCAGACCCCTCTAGAGACTTTCTACCGCGACCACCACCGGCGTCCTCCGCTCCCCCAGCCCCGTGTCTTTTGAGGTGCTGAAAATGGGTGTGCCAGTCCCTGTTGGGGTTATGGCTGGTTTGGCGTTGGCTGGGTTTCACAGGAAGGGGGGCACTGAGAGAATTTTTGGTTACACTTCCGTGCTAACTCCCAGACTGTTTTCCAGAAGCCTGTGGCCCACACTGCCTTTCACCCCCAGTTTTTTGTTTTTGTTTTCAGTCCTGGAAAGGGAATTCGGGTTCTCGGGCGGGATAAATGGCGGTTATGGGGGATTTGGGTGGTGGAGGGGGATGGTGGGAGGCGGAGCCCAGAGTGAAGAAACTGGGAAATCACAACCCGAACCCGAAAAGGCAGTCATTGGGGTCGCTGTTCTGCAGGCTAACGCTAGGCCTGGAGGGGGAGCTGTGGAGTGAAGAAAGGGTGATCACAGGAGGGGGACATTAAATTGTTTGACAGTAAACCTCTGTCCCGCGTCCCATCAAGCTGGCACAGCACTTCGCCCCGCCCCCTCCCTCTTCAGTGCGGAGAAGGGGTGTGGCGGTGGCGTGTCCGGGAGAAATGGCGGACTGGGGATAGGGCAAAGTGGAAGGAGGGGTTGACTGCCTGAGGAGACTGCACGGAAGTGGGGAATTGAGGGAGAGCAGAGAGCTGAAAAGAGTTAAGGGAATTTGAGAGGTGGAAATTTTCGGCATTCTGATATGTGAATTCTAAAAGGCACTTATTGGGAGTCTTGTCCTGGGTGCTGATCCATCCACCAAACTCTGCAACGTCTGCTGTCTGTGTGCTTGCCCTTCAGTCTGTCCTTAAGATGAAGTTCTAACTGAACTTAAGAAAAGATAAACAGCTCTGAATCTTTGGATGTCAGTGTTGAGGGGTGGGAGCTGTCTGGGAACCCCTGGTGTGGATGTGACATAAACCAGAGCAGAGTCTGGGATCAGAGCTCCTCCTCCTCTTCTATCTTCTCCCTCCTTAAGAGACACCCTTGCCCCGCCCTCGCCCTTTTTGGTGCAGGGAAAGGGGTGTGGCGTCAGCCTTTGGAAATAGTTTAAGTGGGAGGAGTAGGAAAAGAAAGAGGAGTCCTAAGAAGGAGAAATTCTTGACCTTTGTTGTTTTTGTTAAGTGCCCTGGAGTTGGTTCCGACTTATAGCTACCCTATATAGGGTTTCCAATGAGCAACTGGTGGGTTTGAACTGCAGACCTTGTGGTTTGCAGTCCCATAAATTCTTGACCTAGAGGGGTTCAAATCAGCAAAGGGTTTTGTGTCAGACCACCAAATGCCCTTTTAGGGGAGGGCCATGAACAGCTCCAGGCATGGATAAAGCAAAGTACTCCTGATTCCAGCAGATTGGTATACTTATTAGCACCCACTGGGTGCCCTTAGGATGGGACTTGGGGAGTGGGAATCAGAACAGAAACTGGGATTTCTTCAGCCTTTCCCTTACTCTCCACCAGCTTTCTTGATGGCCATACTGCTTCTCATCCACCACTTAAACCAAACTCATTACCATTCATTTGATTCTGATTCAACCCCATTGTTACAGAGTAGAATTAAACTCTATGATCTGATTTTTTGTTTGTTTGTTTAGTTTTGGTTTTGGTTTGGGATTTTTTGTCTGTTATCTTTATGAAGACCTGGTGTGGTGCTGTAGGGTAGGCACTGAAATGCTATCACAAGGTTGGTGGTTCAAACCCACCAATCACTCTTTGGAAACCCAATATAGGGTAGCTATGAATCAGGATGGCACTTAACAACAACTACAATCTTTACGAAGCAGATTATCAAGTCTTTCTTTCATGGAACCACTGTGTGGATTCCAACCATCAACCTTTAGATTAGTAATCTGGCACACACTGTTTGCACCACCCAAGTCCCTAACTTCACTTGTTGCTGTTGTTTTCCAGCTCTTAGCGATCCTGTATCGGGTTTCCAAGGAGCAACTGGTGAATTTGAACCGCTGACTTTGTGGTTCGCAGTCCAGTATTTTTATACAGTGTCACACCAGGGCTGTGTTGTCAGATTGGGCAGGGTGGGCTAGGGAGGAAGTTAAAGGTCCTGAATGAATAAATGCAGGACTTGGTACCTGTGTCCTTTCTGCTAGTGGGTCACCACATATTTGTCCCCACTTTCTACTTGAAGTAGGCCTCGGTAGGCACAAAGTAAGCTGGAGTCTAAAGTGTCATTTCTATTCTATACCTTTAGGTCCTGAGCTGAAGACCCTCACCCAAATTTGCACCTATCCTACTTGAGCAAGCAAGCTCTGAGCCCTGGATCAGAGAATCACCTCAGCTGTACCATGAGCCGTGTTCGGGATGCTGGCTGTGTTGCTGCAGGGATAGTGCTTGGGGCTGGTGCCTGGTACTGTGTGTACAAATATGCAAGGGGAAGAGATCAGAAGAAGAGGAAAATGGTCAAGGCCAAGCCCAAGGCCATGGCCAGGACTGGAGCCAAGGCTAGAGCTGGGCTAAAGGCAGGATTCCCAATCGATCTTGGGCTGGGATTCGGTCTTCCAACCCCAGTGTTGACTGGGGCAGAGGACAGGGTCCAGGCTGAAGCCTCTGCACTGAACTCTGCTGAAGCTGAGGCAGTGGTCCCAGCCAGTGTTGAGGTTCAGAGTGGGGCAGGAAGTCAGGCCCAGGAAATTGACGGGGCCAGAGTTGGATCAGCAGCTGCAACCGCAGTGCCTTCTGTAATGGCACCACTTCCCAAGGAGGCAGTGGTCCCCAAATTGGCACAAGCCCCTAGTGCAGCACTTCCGGAAGCAGCAGAAGCTGTGAGGGCGACGGAGGCTCCAATGGCAGCAGAGCCTACAGAGATTACGGAGGCTCCCAAGGTGGCAGTACCTACTGAGGTGACAGAAGCTCCTGGTATGGGAGAGTCTACCAGGGCGGCAGTGCCTACCAGGGCTGCAGAGGCTCCAGGGACTTCTGGAGCTTCTAGAACAGCTGCAGCTCCAGGAACATCAACAGCTAAGAGAGCCACCCCTGGGGCACACACTGGTGCTATACCTAAGGCCGGGTCAGCAACTGGAGCGGTTCCCAAAGGTGGGGTTAAGGGTGGAACCAAGTCCCGTACAGGAAGCAAAGGCAAGGGCAAGAAAAACAAAACTGAAGTAGATGAATTGGGATTGGGCTTCCGCCCTGGGGATGGGGTGGCAGTAGCTGCTGCAGCCTCAGCTAATGGGGGACAAGCTTTCCTGGCAGAGATCCCTGATTCTGAGGAAGGGGAGTCCGGATGGACTGATACAGAGTCCGAGTCAGACTCTGAGCCTGAGACCCAGCACAGGGGAAGGGGGAAGAGACCTGTTCCCGTGCAGAAGCGTCCCTTTCCTTATGAAATTGATGAGATCCTGGGTGCACGTGACCTCAGGAAAGTCCTTACCTTGCTTCAGAAAACGGATGATCCTTTCATCCAACAGGTAGCTCTGCTCACCCTAAGCAATAATGCCAACTATTCATGCAACCAAGATACAATTCGCAAATTGGGAGGCCTCCCGATTATTGCAAACATGATCAACAAAACCAATCCCCACATTAAGGAAAAAGCTTTAATGGTTATGAATAACCTGAGCGAGAATTATGAAAATCAGGGCCGGCTTCAGGTATACATGAATAAAGTGATGGATGATATCATGGCCTCTAATCTGAACTCAGCGGTACAGGTAGTTGGGCTAAAGTTTTTAACAAACATGACTATTACTAACGACTACCAGCACCTGCTTGTCAATTCCATTGCAAACTTTTTCCGTTTGTTATCTCAGGGAGGTGGAAAAATCAAGGTTGAGATTTTGAAAATACTGTCGAATTTTGCTGAAAATCCTGATATGCTCAAAAAGCTGCTCAGTACCCAAGTGCCAGCATCCTTTAGTTCACTCTATAATTCTTATGTGGAATCAGAAATTCTTATTAATGCCCTTACTCTATTCGAGATCATCTATGACAATCTCAGAGCAGAAGTATTTAACTACAGAGAATTCAATAAAGGTTCCCTTTTTTTCTTATGCACTGCATCTGGAGTGTGCGTTAAGAAAATTCGAGCCTTAGCAAATCACCATGATTTGTTGGTGAAAGTGAAAGTTATAAAACTAGTAGATAAATTCTGATCATCTGTGTATTTTCAAAGAACTTGACAAAATTTCTTGGTTTTGCAGTCTGGAAGCATTGACAATTGAAAATTATTACTTTTCTACTTTGCTCATATAGTACAGGGATCTTTTCAGCTGCCAGTGTTGAATATTGTGTCATCCAGAGTTATCTGTGACAGTTTCCAGCTTTAAGGTGAACCATTTTATGAATACCAAAAAATAGTTCTCTTGTACTGAAAATATGTTTGTGACTTTAATTGTGCTGCTTGAATGGAAATATTTTTACTGGTTCCTCTAAGTGAATGACAGTGAACCTGCCCATCATGAATAGCCTACATTTATAGTATTTGTTTTGACTTGAATTTATCCGCCAAAGACTTCATTTGTGTATCATAAATAAAGTTGTATATTCAACTAAAAGGATGTGTTCATGGTTGAATTTTAAATATAGCTGGAGAGATAAGACACGCATATATATATACACCAAAGGATTCCTGACAGTCGCGAAGCATGTGCTCACTGTCAAATGTGTGATATTGATTTAAAAAAGCACAAATTGCTTCATTTAGGAAGTTTCAAGTAGAGAGGGCACACTTCAGATGGTTCCTTTCTGGGTTAGCATGAGACAACTTGGAAGGACATTCCAGGAAGGGAAAACGGTTTGAACAAAGACATGGAGGTTGGAAATACACTCCTACAATAGGAAGAACTAGCACTTGTCTGTCGATTTGTCCTACTTTGGTGGCTTGTGTGTTGCTGAAATGCTGGAAGCTATGCCACCAGTGTTTTGAATACCAGCAGGGTCACACATGGTGGACAGGTTTCAGCTGAGCTTCTAGAGTAAAAGACGTTAGGAAGAATGAGAGGCAGACTACTTCTGAATGTGTAGTCACTAAAAACCATATGAATGGCAGTGGAACACCATCAGATAGTACCAGAATCTTCAATATTGAAATATTATGAATACTGCAAGAATATTGTCAGATACAGTCCTGGAAGATGAGTACCTAAGATTTGGAAGGCACTCAAAATATGAATGGGCTGCTTCCTCAAAGTAGAGTCAACCACAATGACAAATGGAGTAAAGTTTTCAAGACCTCCATTAGTTGATGGGGCACAACTCAAAATGAAGAGAAATGGTTATAAACATTCATTAATATTTGGAATGTGGAATGTATGAAGTATGAATCTAGGAAATTGGAAGTTGTCAAAATTAAATGGAAAAAAAAATAAATGGAAGACATAAAGATCAATATCTTAGGCATTAGTGAGCTGGTATTGGCCATTTTGAATCTGACAATCATATGGTTTACTTTGTCGGGAATGACAAAGATGAATGGAGTCACATTCATCATCAAAAAGAATATTTCAGGTCTATCTTGAAGTATAATGCTGTCTCTGATAAGTATAATGTGTAAGGATAATATTCATATGCCTAAAATGAAGGCCAGTTAATACCACTATTATTCAAATTTGCTTCCCAAACACTAAAGGCAGTGATGATAAAATTGAAGAAATCTACCAACTTCTTCAGTCTGAAATTGATCAAGCATGCAATTAAGATGTGTTGATAATTACTGGTGATTAGAATGTGAGTGTTGGAAACAAAGAGGAAGGATCAGTAGTTGTAATATATGACCTTGGTGATTGAAACAATGCTGGAGATCACATGATAGAATTTTGCAAGGCCAATTACATCTTCATTGCAAATAACTTTTTTAAACAACATAAAAGATGACTAAACACATGGACTTAACCAGATGAAATATACAGAAATCAAATTAACTACATCTGTAGAAAGAGATATCATCAGCCAAAACAAGACCAGTGGGATGCTGTGAAACAGACCATCAATTGCTCATCTACAAGTTCAAGCTGAAGCTGAAGAAAATTAAGTCCACGAGAGTCAAAATATGACCTTGAACATATTCTACCTGAATTTAGAGATCATCTCAAGAACAAATTTGATGCGTTAGACTCTAATGACCAAAAACCAGAAGAGTTGTGGGATGACACCAACAACATCATACAGATAGAAAGCAAAATGTCATTAAGAAAATAAGAAAGATGTAAAAGACCAAATGGATGTCAAAAGAGACTCTGACACTTGTCTCTAATGGAGAGATGCTATAGCAAATGGAAGAAACGATGAAGTAAAAGAGCTGAACAGCATATTTCAAAGGGCAGTTTGAGAAGACAAAGTTAAGTATTATGAAATGTGCAAAGCAAATCAAAAGGAAAGAACATGCTCAGCATTTCTCAAGCTGAAACAACTGAAGGAAAAATTTAAGCCTTGACTCAACATTGAAGGATTCTGTGAGAAACACATTCAATGATGCAGAAAACATCAAAGAAGATGGAAGGAATAAACAGAGTCACTATGTCAAAAAGAAACTGTATCAAAAAGAAATGGTTGATGTTCAACCATTTCAAGGGGTAGCACATGATCAAGAGCCAGTGGTACTGAAGGAGGAAGTCCAAGGTGCACTGAAGGCATTGGCAAAGAAAAAGACTCCGGGAATTGATGGGATAACACTGAAATCTTTCAACAAACTGGAGGTACTCAATCATTTATACTAAGAAATTTGGAAGACAGCTACCTGGCCAACTGATTGGAAGAAATACATATTTGTGCCCATTCCAAAGAAAGGTGACTTGACAGAAAGCAGAAATCATTGTTCAATATCATTAATATCACATGCAAGTAAAATTTTGCAAGATTAATCCAAAAATAGCTGTAACAGTACATTGACAGACAACCACCATAGGTTCAAGTCAGATTCAGACAAGGACATGGAATGAAGGATATCACTGGTTGCATCAGATGGATCTTGACTGAAAGCAGAGGATACCAACTAGATGTTTACCTGTACTTTATTGACTCTGAAATGTTTTTTGACTGTGTAGATCATGGGAAGCTATGGACAACATAGTAGAGAATGGGTATTCCAGAATACTTAATTGTGCTCATGAGGAACCTGTACATAAACCAAGAGGCAGCTGTCAGAAGAGAACAGGGGAACAACGAATGGTTTAAAATCAGGAAAGGTGTGAGCCAGCGTTGCATTCTTTCACCATACTTAGTCCATCTGTATGCTGAGCAAATAATCTGAGAAGCTGAATTATATGAAAGAGAATGTAGCATCAGATTACAGGAAGACCCATTAACAACTTGAGATATGCAGATGATACAACCTTACTTGCTGAGAGCAAAGAGGACTTAAAATAGTTACTGATGAAGATCAAAGACCACAGTTTTCATTATGGGTTGCACTTCAATATAAAGAAAACAGAAATTCTCATCACTGGACCAATAAATAACATCATGATAAATAGAGAAGATTCAAGTTTTCAAAGATTTCATTTTGCTTGAATCCACTATCAACACTCATGGAAGCAGCATTCAAGAAATCAACTGACATAGTGCACTAGACATATCTGTTGCATAAGACCTCTTTAAAGTGTTCAAGACTAAAGATGTCAATTTGAGGACTAAGGTGTGTCTGACCCAAGCCACCATATTTTCAATAGCCTCATATGCATGTAAAAGTTAGACAGTGAATAAGAAAGACCATGGAAGAATTGATGCATTTGAGTTATGGTGTTGGAGAAGAATATTAAAAGTACCATGGACTGCCAGAAAAGCAAACAAATTTGTGTTGGAAAAAGTACAGTCAGAATGCTCCTTAGAAGCTAAGATGGTGAGACTTCATCTCTCATCCTTATCACATTATTAGGAGAGACCAGTCCCTAGAGAAGGACATCATGCTTGACAAAGTGGAAGTTCAACAAAAAAGAGTTGGATTGGCACAGTGACTGCAGCAATGGGCTCACACATAACAACAATTGTGAGGATGGCGTAGGACTGGACAGGCTTTTGTTGTGTTGCATAAAGTAGTTCAGAATCAGAACTGACTCGACGGCACTTAACAACAACAACAATAGGAAGAAAACTAGTTTGCCTGGAGTGGAATCAGTGGGGAGAGGAGTCATGAGATGTAAAGGTGAAAATGTATGATGAGACAAATTTTGGAAAGATACTAAACTCCAAGCTAAGATGTTAGAATATTATCTTGCTATGTTCTGGGAATCACTGAACATTTTTGACTAAGGGAAAAATAAACTGGGTTCAATGGGCATGATGGATTGGAGTTGTGATGGAGTTAAGGATGGAGACTGGATCTGATGACATTTGTTAGGAAATTTTCATAACAGACCAAGTATGAGATGATAAAGGGTGAAATAAGAGTATAACAGAAGTCCTGCTGTGTTGCTGTAGAATAAGCACTGGACTGTTATCTGCAAGTGTCAGCTGTTCAAACACACCAGCCCTCTCCGAAATCCTATACAAGGTCGCTACAAGTCAGAACCGAATAGATCACACATAACAACACAGCACTGTATAAGAACTGTTAGGGGGAAAAGTTAATAAGAGATTCCTCAAAAAATATCAAGATCATCTGGCTGAAACTCCCTTGTGGGGTAACAGGGAGGGAGGATTTTATTATCTAGATCAGGTCCCGACAGGGAAAGGCCCTCTTGCAAGGTCAACTCTGGCGACCATCTAAGGCCAAAGTAGGTTACCATTTTGAAGAATGAGAAAAGGACAGCATGGCAGAAAGAATGATCCTTGGTACAGATGAGTGTTTGAGGCCTAGATTGCCCTTCTTTTAGAAAAGGGACAATGGGGTGGCCTTTATGGGAAGGAGACTCTTTGGGGGGGGGTCCCCTGATTTCACTTAAGAATAGATGCACCTTCCTTCCTCCCCTTGATGGCTGAAACAATGAAAGAAGAACATGAGAAGTGTTCCAGAGATTTTCCAAAACCACCCTACTTTCCTGACATCCTTCATAAAGCCCTCATTTCTGTGCCACTGTATGGTAGACTGTTGTACTAATGAGAATAGAGATTCCTAGAAAGGGGACATATAGAAAAAAGGATAGATTACCATTAACATTGGTACAGTCTATTATCCGGAGGGTAATTTGGCTATATGCATAAGAAGTCTTAGATATGT